TCGCCTCGCACCCAGGACCCAGGATTCCCTCCTCCGGCCAGTTGTAGGCGTCCAGGACCCGGGCTTCCCTCCGTCTGGCCAGCTGCTGGCACCCAGGACACGGGCCGGCTTCACCCAGGCCGGCCACAGCCGCAGGAGACCATGGGCGGGCGACTTTGCCCGAGCCGCAGCCACAGGCGCCTAGGACCACGGGGTGAGCAGCTTGTCCCTCTCCCAGGCCACAGCCTGGCTGGTCCCTATTCCTCTCTCCCCAGTGTTGAGTGTCTGAGCAGTTACGGCATGATGGTGTGACAATGTGAGGGTGTGATGACCATTTGCATATTAGCTCTTTATTATATAGGATTATATATATGAGCCAAAATATTTTTACCTATTCTCTACTATTTGATAATTATTTCAAAGTTTTTGCTACTATAAATAAAACTTTTGGATAAAAATGCATAAGAAGTATGTTTGTTGAAAGTACAAAAAAATTTGAAAAATTTTAAATTCATAAACATAGTATATTCATAAAATGAAAAAGGGTTTTTTATTGGCACATCATGCTTTTATCTTTTATTTTTTTAAATTAAATCTTTGTTGTTGGAAGTATTACATGTGTCCCTTTTTCCCTCCATTGACCTCTTCTAGCCCGCCCCTTGCCCCAGGCCTTTACCGCCCCATTGTCTGTGTCCATGGGTTATGCATATATGCATACAAGTTCTTTGGTTGATCTCTTCCCACCCACTCCCGCCTTCCTTCTGAGATTCCGCATTCTGTTTTATGCTTCTATGTCTCGATCTATTTTGTTCACCAGTTTATTTTGTTCATTAGATTCCACATATGAGTGAGATCATGTGATACTTTATTCAGTTATTAAGTAAGATGGTATTTGGCCCTAGCTGGTTTGGCGCAGTGGGTAGAGTGTCAGCCTGCGGATTCCGGTCAAGTGTTGTGGGCTTGATCCCCACTAGGGGGCGTGCAGGAGGCATCTGATCGGTGAATCTCTCTCATCATTGATGTTTCTATCTCTCCCTCTCCCTTCCTCTCTGAAATCAATAAAAATATATTTGAAAAACAAAAGGTGGTATTTGTTTACTTTTTGAGGAACATATTCATGATATGTTTATGGAAAAAGAAATTAAGCAGCAGTATGTGTGCTATACCTTTCTTCTAAAATAAATAGGGAGTAAAGTGCCTGGAAGGACATATGCTAAGACCTGTGGGATTTTGTGTGGGATTGGGGCATGGAAATGAAAGGTGGATATCCTTTTTCTGCCTTTGATAGTTGTCTAGAGTCTTTTCATTTTTGTCTTGGAAGTCTTTGTGCTGAAATTAGAATGCTTTTTCAAACACTTATGGTCTTGCATTTAGGCTTTTGTCAGTTTGGTAGATAGTGATGTACTTGCTTCTCAAAGTACGTTTTTTTTTTTGCCTCACCTAACTTATTTAAGCCTTAGTGTGTAGCTTAAAAAATATATATATATTTTGTTAATCATCACTTGAGGGTATTTTTCCATTGAGTTTTAGGGAGGGTGGAAGAGAGGGAAAGACAGAAACATTGATGTGAGGGAAACACGTCGATTGGTTGCCTCCTGCGCAAGCCCTGACCAGGTCTAGCTGGGCAGGTCGATTGGTTGCCTCCTGCGCAAGCCCTGACCAGGTCTAAGCTGGGCAGGAGCTTGAAACCAAGGTATGTGCCCTTGACCGGAATCGAACCTGGGACTCTGGTCCACAGGCTGATGCTCTATCCACTGAACCAAACCGGCTAAGGCAAAAAATACATATTTTTTATTGATTTCAGGAGAGGAAGGGAGAGGGAGAGAGAGGTAGAAACATCAGTGATGAGAATCATTACTAGTAATCGGCTGCCTCCTGTACACCCCACACTGGGGATCGAGTCTATAACCTGGGCATGTGCCCTAACTGGGAATTGAACCCATGACCTCCTGGTTCATAGGTCAGTGCTCAAACAATGAGCTACGCCAGTGGGCATGAAGATATTTTTCCATTGAATTTTTCCAGAGTGGAAGAGAGAGGGAAAGACAGAGAGAAATATTGATGTGAGAGAAACACATTGATTGGTTGCCTCCTGTACAAGCCCTAACCAGGGCCCCAGGCTGAGGAGGAGCCTGCAACTGAGGTATGTGCCCTTGACTGGAATTGAACCCGGGACCCTTCGTGCCGCAGACCGACGCTCTATCCACTCAGCCAAACCGGCTAGGGCTTATTTTTTTGGAAAAGTGAGATGCCTTGTCTTTCTGATTATTAGTTCTGAACTTCATTTTGAGTTGCTCATGAGGCTCCAGTCGGTTGCTGATTTCTGAACTTGCTGGCCATTGGGAGTGCACAACTCTGTGTCGATTGTCCTGTGTGCCACAGATGAGCTCTAAACATGATTTCTGCTTCATCAGAAAGCCTTAACTCAAAACCTTTTTTTCTTTTGTACATAGGTCTTCCAGCATCTCTTTGGTCTCTTTCAGTTCCATTCTCTAGGAAAAATACATCACATAGTATAAAGGCTTGTTTAAGGGAGTGTCTTTTCTGAACTTGATGGAGACTAAGCAAATTGAATCAGTGATTCTTTATGAGTAAAAGTGATTGTATGGAACTATGAAACACACTAATGATTTCTACTTAACCAATTCTAGCCTTTCTCATTTGTATAGATTACTTTGTTTTGCCATTTTATGTTTTTAAAAAGTAAATATTATGCAATTGCAGGTTTCTTTTCTGGTGGCAAAAGATGCAGAAATGCATAAAAGTAAGCTGCAGTACTTTATGGAACAATTCTATGGAATCATCAGGAACATGGATTCAAACAGCAAGGATTTATCCATTGCGATTCGTGGATATGGACTTTTTGCAGGAGTATGGATCATTAATTTTCTCTTAACATTTTAGTTTTATTGGGAGTATTTAAAGAGATATAATTTATTGCATTTTAAAGTATGTCATACTTGAGATAATTTTGTTGTTATTTGCTTTACTGTTAACTTAAAAAAATTTTTTTATTGATTTTAGAGAGAAAGGGAGAGAGAGAAATAGAAACATCAATGAATTGAGAGAATCACACCTCCTGCACACCTGAGACTAGGGATTGAGCCCACAACCTGGGCATGTGCCCTCACCGGGAATCAAACCATGACTTTCTGGTCCATAGATCAATGCTCAACCACGGAGCCATGCAGGCCGGGCACTAGTAACTTGTTTTTTCAGTGCCTACTATGTACGAAGATTCTGTGTATGTTATTTCAAATCCTCATAACTCCCCTCCAAGCTTTTAGGAGTATTATTTCACTTTACAGATGAGAAACAGCCCTAGAGAAATTGGGTAACTTACTAAAGGACATACAGTTGATAATTGACAAAACCAAGACATAAATTTAGGTGTGAAGACTAGAAACAGCATGTGTTTTTCCACTGTGCTATGCTGCCTCTTATTTATGAAGTAAAATTGTAGTTGATGGTACTCAACATTTTAAAAATAGAAATTCTAATGACAGAAGGAGCTATATATAAGAATAATGAGAATAGCCATAGTTATTTCCCTCTTAGTGGATCTCTGTGACTTCTCTTTTATGGAGAAAATCACTTGGTACCTCTCTTTCTACAGATTAATCTTCAGTGTCTACTCCCTTGTTTCAGAGAACGAGAGGTCCTTTTTCAGCCTTCCACTATCACTATTCATTTCATCCTGATACTTCCTCATTTGCTTCCATTTGTCTCTGTTAGCTCCTTTAAAATACTTAGGGCAAGAAACAATATATAAGACGCCTCAGCGGTAAATGAGAGCATGGAATTTTGAACTGAACTTCATACACTGTGGTCTAACCAACTTCAACTTGTTCAATGTAGTTAGATGTGTTCACAGTGTAACTAGAGCATATAGACAAGGAAGACAGGAGAGAGGGCTCTAAAGGAGAAACTAGTCAGATCCTTAAGGAGGCTGGGCTAGATCTGAAGGCTAAAGAAGCCTTTGGAAAATCTGAAGCTGGGTAGTAGCATTATCAGATCTGTGAGTTATAAAGATGGCTTACAGTGTTCGGTGTGGAGTAGTTGTGTATTCCAAATTTGAATGTAGTTGTCAGTCTCTTCTAGGTGACTAGCCTCATGGGGACTGGGACTGCATCTTTTTTGTCTTTGATACCTACTATCGAAATAGTGTCTAGAACAGTGATGGCGAACCTATGACACTCGTGTCAGAGGTGACACGCAAACTCATTTTTTTGATTGATTTTTCTTTGTTAAATGGCATTTAAATATATAAAATAAATATCAAAAATATAAATCTTTATTTTACTATGGTTGCAAATATCAAAAAATTTCTATATGTGACACGGCACCAGAGTTAAGTTAGGGTTTTTCAAAATGCTGACACGCCGAGCTCAAAA